TTTATTAAATTGTTTTTTCAATTATTATTATAAATAAATAAATATGATTTAAACAACGATTTTCTTATTTTTTTTTTATTTTTTTATTTTTTTGTAAAATTGCATATTTTGATAAGTCGGATCTCTTGATAAGTAGGACACCATGTCCAGCCATTTGTGTCCGACTTATCGAGTTTACCTATGTACTGTTTTTTTAATAAATATTATTATGAATAAAAAAAAAAAAAGGAAATTCAAATTTTCCGAAGATAAATTTTTAATTTTGGAATAAAAATATAATTTTCTTTATTCTATTTTTACTTTGAGAGGTTTTCTAAGAATCCTATCGCATAAACCAATTAGTACTATTTCCGGCCCTAATCGCGACCAAAATACATTGAATTTCAGAAATAATTTGGGAAAAGAAGAGCCTACCAGAAACCGGAACATAAACTTCTAACTTTTATGGCTGGACAAAGATATCAGCAATGTTGCAATTTTCACAGCATTGTTCGTAATTTTCACAATGTTTTTGTGATTTTTTGTGCACTTTATTTTTTAAATTACACTGTTGTAAAAGATTGCAACGTCGCTGCAAAGAATTACAACGATAGTTGCAAAAGATTAATAACGTTGCTTCAAAATATTTAACAATCCTGTGAATAATTACAACGCTACTGCAAAGCATTACAACAATGTTGTGGATGATTACAAAGTCACTGAAAAGAATTACAACAATCCTGTGAATAATTACAACGCTGCTGCAAAGAATTATAACGAGAGTTGTAAAAAATTGCAACAATGTTATAAATAAATACAATACTGTTGCAAAGGATTACAAATGTTTCTTTACACCTTTGCAAATGGTCATGGTCAACTTCTAAGTTAATAATAAAGAGGTTGTGGTTTTGGCATGAAAATATTGCAATTTTCAACTTAAAGTCGCAAAAAATAAAATAAAAATGAAGATATATATTTTTCCCTTTTAAAAAAAGATATTATCATTTATATCAATACATACAATTTATAATTTTATTGAAAGAAAAGAACGAAAGTTAAATATATACAGATACATACATACACATATTCATAATAAAACATTCCCTAAAAAAATACATAAAAACAGGACTTAAAAAAATGAGGAAATCAGAAAAGAAAAGATTTAGGGTTGAGAAAGAGCCAAAAAGAGGATAACATTTCAATGCAGAATACAGAATTAATTAAAATTAGACAAAAAATTTTGATAATTGCGTGTACATTTATTATCATAATAATGATAAAAATGCAGATTGATCAGGCATTAATAAAATTTATGACAAAAATTTGTTATGCATGTGGATATTCTTACGCATCCCACAAGCAATTGAAATCAAAGACTAATTCTATTTCCTCCGTGAATACAACAGCCTTTCCAAACTTATCGACATCTTATACAACAACTTCTTTCAACTTACCATCATTTTCTATAGATACATCAACCAATTTACCATTACCATTATATACGCCAACTTCTTCTAACCTACCATCATCTTTTAGAAATGCATCAACTTCTTCCAATTTACCATCATCTTCTACAAATACATCAACTTCTTCCCAATTTACCAGCATATTCTACAAAGTATACCAACTCCTTCCAACTTAACATCATCATTTATGAATATACCAATTACTTCTTTTCAACTTAACATCATCATCTTTTACCAGTCATTTGGCAAGAGAAATGCAGAATGTATTTGAATTTAGGAGAGGTTTAAATACTTCTGAATTTACTAATAGCAATGACACTAATAATGATGAGCGTTAATCCTTGCGTAACATACAGTAATAGATGAAAAGGGAAAAAAATAAAACAAGTAATAAAGGAATTATTTAGAACTACAATTTATTTGTTATTATTATGATCAATGAATATTAATTGCTGATACCCGTTACTTCCAATCCAAAGTACCTGGCTGTAAATTGGTGATATTTTTTAGGTAACCAAAATAAATAAATATCAATACGTTTTCCTTAAGAATTAATATAAGAATTAAGGTTAAGCTTAATGGAAAAGAATTTATTATTCGAGTAGCTCAAGATAAAAAAAATGATTGAAACCTGGTTATATGTGTGAGTTGAATGACAATGTATTGTGAAGTGATAAATGAAAATTACCAAAATTTTTTGATGAGAGACACGTTTTGATGAAAATTGTTGAACAAATTAATTACGGGTATGCATATTATTTTTTTCCATTTGAAATTGTTACTAATGAATGGTATTACGATTTTTGTAGAAGCACATGATGATTCGGGTAAAGAAGAATTGGATTTTTCCCAATATCCCAAGTTTAAGGTAAACATTCTTAATCGAAAAAGGAATTTTTTTAATATATTTGTTTTTTATATTAAATAGTTGTTGATTATATTTAGATAAACAACCAAAAAACTATATACAAGTCTAATAATGTTCAATTAATAAATATATTTCTTCTCATTAACCAAAACAACATTGATATTTAAAAGTATATCTTATATTTCAATATAGAAACATTTGAACTAAAGAGGGATGGGCTTTGAAAGGCATCCAAAATATAAAAGGTGGAGGAAAATGAATGACTAAAAGAATAAACCTTACTTTGAGGGCAGGTAATGTAAATAAATCAGATTGAATGACAACAAAAGAAATGGTAAAGTCTACTTCAAATTTTGGTGATGTTGTGGAATTACCCAACAATGAACATTTGAAAAACCCAATAATAATAAATAAATAAAAAATATTTAATTACAGTTATCATTTATCAATGTTTTACGTTTTCTAATTAATTGTTATTTATTTTCTATATAAAACGATTTCTTTTTCCAATTTTCCTAGACTTTATCAACCACCGTTTGACTTTTTTTCCTACTCGCATTATTTCATCTGTTCTTTCATGGTATACGTAATAATAACAAAGAATATAAATTTGGTCAGTATTGGTGATAGTGTTGGTTAAGGTTAAAATTTTTAACACGCAAATCTCCATAACTTAAATACAAAAGTTTTCAAGAAACACTTCAGGCCCTTTGATAATATTCTGATACATACATATAAAGACCATACGCCAATCCTGACAGATTCGTCGATTTACTAAAAATTTAAATTTAATAACTATTTTAATAGCTTTCAGATTACAAAAATCTATTGATGGAAGATACAAAAAGGATGTAATTTTTTATGAAAATGATACGGTAGATGATGTAAAAAATACAATAGTCAAATATTCATTTCTTAAAAGATATTGAGTGCGCAATACATCAACCAATGGATAAATAAGTTTAATACAATTGTAGCAAATAATATTACACTTAATTATTGTGGAATAATTTTGTATATTATTATATATATTGATTAATTATAATAATAATAATAATAATAATAATAATAATAATAATAATAATAATAATAATAATAATAATAATAATAATGCATTATATTATAATAATATAATTATTTTGTTTGATAGAAATTATATATTGGACCAAAACCATCAACATTTGTTTTCTTCAACAACAATAGCTTCAAATACTTCTGGTCAACAGTATCTCCACCACAATCAACATCAACAGTAATAACATCATCGTCATTACCATCACCACCACCACAATTGACACCAATAGTAACATCCATCATCAACACCAATAGTAATATCATTAACAATACAACTATACATGTTATCAAAATTAATTTGACTTGACTCAATTACCAAAATCTCAATTTTCAATTGCGTCTGACTCAATTACTTGTATGTTTTCATATGACTTGATTGATTGCATCAAAAAATCACCTGATTGAGTCAAGTGACCAACCTATTGTAAAACCACAACCACAATCGACGCTAATAGCAACATCACCAATGTCATTCATTACCACTACAATCATATCAACATTGATCAACATCACAAGCACCATGCTAATTGTAAATAAAGTGTCAATTCTTTTAGAGTTTGATTTAATTAATACATAGCAATAGGCATTTTTCCGCCACAACTTAAAGTAACTAGTTTCTTACAGCAAATAATTATGGTATGTATTAATCATTATAATAAAAATATATTAATTCGCAATCCGTGAAACAACTGCAAAAATTTGCCAATCATTAATATGTTTTTGTGGCGATAACCAGTGTTGAAAATTCAATGCCCGCAATGCCCGCGTGTAACATTACACACCAATCAATTTTTTAATTTTTGGAGATAGTTTCTAAATTTGTACTAG